TGCAAGACAAGGGAATCAAGATTATCTCGGCTTTCCGCTTAGGTAAGAAACAAGAGGATTCCCCCAAGCCTCGCCTCCTAAAGGTTGTGTTCCAAAATGAGGAAGAATGTCGACGCATTCTCCTACGGACTTCACGGCTCAAAGGTAAGTCGTTTTATGTGTTGAGAGATCTATCCCCGGAAGATCGGATCAAAATGAAAAAAGCCGTTGATGAGCTGAGGACCCGTCGGGCGAATGGTGAAACGTACCTTCATATCGCGGATTTTCGTGTAGTTCGGAAAACTCCAAGAACCCGTTGGAGACCGATTTTTCTCACCCCAGGACAGTAACGTAAAAGAACGGACTGCGTGTGCTGTTCGCTAATGTTCGTAGTCTGCGAAATAAACTTGATGAGATCCAAACGCTTGCCGCAGATGTTTGTCTTGATTTAATGGCCTTCAATGAAACATGGTTATTCCCTGACATCATTGACTCTGAAATATCTATCCCTGGATACCACCTTTCTCGGGCCGATCGTCATGGGAGGAAGTCGGGAGGCGGCGTAATACTATACTGGAGAGCGGATCTGAAGTCCCATCTAGTTGAGGTCTCATGTGACAATGGCAGCGATTTTGATGCCCTTTGGTGTCGCATTCATGACGGGTGCAGATCTTCTTTGATTGGTGTCATCTACAGAGCGCCACTGGGCGCGGGAGCTCGCCTGTTGGAACTGATCAAGAAGCACGGTGCTGGAAAGGATTGTCTTATTCTGGGAGATTTCAATGCTCCTAATATCAACTGGGACTTCTTGCTTTGCAATCGTCCACCTGATCCCTTGGATGCCGCATTCCTTGATACCATTCTCGACTGCAGCCTGTATAAACATGTGTCCATGCCTACTCGCATTCTCGCCGGCCAGTCGCCTCATATCCTGGACCTTGTGCTCTCCCCAGCGCAGGCAGACGTCATGGACCTAACAGTCTTCCAACCTATTTGTAAAAGCGATCATTGTACTATTTTATTCCAATGGACTCGTCGCTTTACCGTTCACAACTCATGTGCCGTTCGTCGAAATTTCTGGCGTACCGACGCCATTCGTTTTAAAACGGCTCCAAGCAGTATGGATTGGTATATTCCCGGACAGCTGAATGTGGACGGTGCCTGGAATCTTCTGTACTCCAAGCTGACATCACTCATTGAGCAAGTTGTCCCCATTTCCAATAAGCGACCGCTCTCTAGAGGCCCTCCATGGATCGCTCGTGATCTGAGATCCCTAATGAACAGAAGACGTAAGTTGTGGGACCGCTTTAGGATCACGCGGTCAGAGCATGACTACATCAGTTACAAAACGGTTAGGAATACCTGTACCCAGCAAAACGTAAGAAACGCCAACAGTATGAACTCTCCCTAGCCACGCTTTCTAGAAACACTCCTAAGGCGCTTTTCTCCTACCTCAAACGGAGCACTAGAGCGGGCAGTGGTATCCCTGCCCTGTGTTCTTCCGAACATGAGGATCCAGTTCACGAAGACATCGACAAAGCCAGCCTCCTGGCTCGGCAATACTCTTCAGTGTATTCAACCTCAGCGTCGTTCACTGACAGCACAGTGTGCACTCCCCCTCCTCTGTTAGAACACGTCGATATTAACACTGACGTCGTGTGGAAACTTCTCCGTGAGTTGGATCCATACGCATCGCCTGGTCCTGACGACTTGCACCCTTAATTCATCAAGGCTGTGGCTCAGTCCATTGCTTCAATTATCACGCAGGTTTTCCGTCGATCGTATCAGTCCGGACTTCTCCCGACCGCTTAGAAGATGGGCATCATCAAGCCCATACACAAAAGAGGGAACCGGCAAGACCCAGCTAGCTACCGGCCCACCTGCCTTACATCGATAGTGTGCAAAATCATTGAACGGGTCCTGAAACGGGCGCTTCGACGTCATCTCGTGCGGCTGGATCTGATATCAAGTGCCCAACATGGTTTTCGCAAAGCTCGCTCCTGCTCTACCAACTTGCTGCTGGCTAGAGAAAAATGAGCAAATTCATTGGATGTTGGCAAACGCATGGATGTTGTGTTCGTGGACTTCAGTAAAGCTTTTGATAAAGTCCCTCATGAACAGCTTCTCTACAAACTCAGAGGAATCGGTATCTCTGGAAACTTTCTCTCCTGGATTTCTGATTTTCTACACACTCGTTCCATGCTGGTGAGAGTGAACGAAACGTATTCCGATCCTGTTCATATGACCAGCGGTGTTCCACAGGGCTCCGTCCTCGGCCCCGAACTCTTCAACATCTTCATCAACGATCTACCGTCGGAGCTTCAATCGGATTGCTTGATTTATGCGGATGATCTAAAGATATGGAAGGTATCCTCTCTAGAGGATGCTGATCGACTACAAGAGACGCTCGATCTCCTGCACACTTGGTCGATTCAGTGGCATTTACCCATTAATCAAGACAAATGTTCCGTCCTGCCTATCGGCGCTCCTGAACCACTCGGCGCGTACCACATGGGTGGTTTCTTGCTCAAAAATGTTACATCAGAGAGAGATCTGGGCGTGATTGTTTCCCCGGACTTAAGATCTACTCAGGACACCATGAAGAGGGTTGCCGCTGCCTACAGAATGTTTTATGCCATCCGAAGAGCTTTCTGTCGCTTGACACCGGAACTCTTTAGACTTCTGTTCACCTCGAATGTGCGCCCGATTTTGGAATACGGCCTCCCTGCTGCCTACCCGCTTTCCAAATCTGAGCGCGACATGATCGAAAAGGTCCAACGGCGTGGATCGAAGTTTGTCTCCGAGTTACGTGACCTGCCGTATCCCCTTCGGCTTCGGCATTTGAATATGTTTTCTATGGATTACCGCCGTCGGCGTGGGGACTTGATCTTTACCCGTCGTATCCTCAGGGGAGAACTGGGGAGAGAGTTGCAGGAATTCTTCCACCTCAACATCGGGAGTTCGACTAGAGGCCACCAATGGAAAATATTCAAGCCGCGGAGGCTCAAAGTACTGTCCATTCTTGCTCTATCCACTCGCGTTGTGAATAATTGGAACCGGTTACCGCCGACAATCGTTCCTGCACAGACAGAGAATTGCTTCAAACGACTACTTGATACACACCTGTTGAATATGCCGGGATCGTGTTGCTTCAGCTACGAGTGCGACGGCTTCTCCGGAGTTCCCGTTGCGCAATGACGAGCATGCCAGCAATGATCGGGAAGCGATGGAGCTGACAAGGGACTTCCCCTCCTGCTCTCTACTACCCCAATGAACCCAATGAACCAATGAACTAGATGCACTTGGGTGGCTACAAGAAACCTTTCCTTTTTCCTGACTAATTTTCATCTTCATACTTCGATTCTATTTTCTGTACTTTGCCTCGCCATTGGTATTATTCTCTTCTGCTAACTGATATCCCCTACTCTCTTCGCTTTTTCCTCTCTTACTTACTTCACGTAGCTGACATTGCTGGGACAGCTAATGTAAGGAACGTGGGCATTAAATTGATGGACCAGGGTGTTTTATCTGGTGTTCTCCTTTTAGACCCATCAAGACGTCGGAGCACCCCTATCATCTCCTGGATCGACGACAGGCTCAAGAAGGAACACTTCCGGGATACAGACCATCAGACCATCTGCGCGGGCATCGCCTGAGGCTTAAACATCACAGAGCTCGTTTGGATATCAGGGCAAAGTTTTTTACGAACCGGGTAGTTAACTACTGGAATAAACTCCCTTCTGATTTAGTGGAGTCTGAGACAGTAGAAGCCTTCAAAAGGGGCTTAGACAATTGTTGGTCCATCCTTTTTCCAGAAATATTGTAGTTGTACTTTAATATGTAGTGTATCTTGATGCTGGCATATGAAAGTGCAGAGATTGCTCTTGTTCTTGCTTCATTCCATTGCAGAAGCAAGAAGAGACAATCCAACGTCGAAGTGCCGGGGGTCGCTTCACTTACCGGCACAAGAACTGGACGCTCGTTAGGCGGAGGCCTCTATCGTCCATCTGACCTGACCTGACCTACATTCTATCGTTCCAGTCCCACGTGAACTTGAACTTGAGCTTGCATAGCTGTACCCAGCAACTTACTCTATTTTCCGTCATTAGCCTGTTGTGTAACGAACGGTTTCCACTCGGACCGCTACGTCTTAAAACTCTTCATGGCTCTTTTTGGAGGTAATAGGCTTTTCCCTCGTCTTGCAAGGTAGTTCTGTGCTTTTTAACTGACACTGATTAACAAGCGCCACCCGCTTGCCGACATTTCTTTCAGTACCAACTGCGAGGTTTTCGTTCAAAGTTTCAGGAAAGGTATTTTTTCCATTTTAGAAAATGAATAATTAAGAAATTTAGGTGGATCCAATGGGGCACATTAGTCACATTTGCCGGGTTGACTGCTGGTGGTGTGTTATATGCTTCCAAAGATTTGGCTCAAGGTAATGTTTCAGCGCATTTATTTTCGTTCCTCTTATGTTCTCTTCACCGGCATGCACGGTCATATATGACCGTGACGGCCATATATGGCCGTCAGAGGTGCCGGCCACATAGGTACCCTGTCCACGCAGATAAACGGCGAGTCGTCCCATTTGGGCGTTTTTTCGGTCACTCGCTGAGGCGAAACGTTAATTTGAAAATAAATAACGTGATTTGTCCAGTTATGTCGTTAGATGAGTGTACGTTTTTAGCACCGTCCGTTATCTAAAAATCGTTACTTTTTAAGAGAATCGTAATTTCACTCAGCGCCGGTGACCATTGGAGCTCTCTGAGTGACCAAATTTTTTTAATGGTTCATTGGGGTAGTAGAGAGCAGGAGGGGAAGTCCCTTGTCAGCTCCATCGCTTCCCGATCATTGCTGGCATGCTCGTCATTGCGCAACGGGAACTCCGGAGAAGCCGTCGCACTCGTAGCTGAAGCAACACGATCCCGGCATATTCAACAGGTGTGTATCAAGTAGTCGTTTGAAGCAATTCCTCTGTCTGTGCAGCAACGACTGTCGGCGGTAACCGGTTCCAATTATTCACAACGCGAGTGGATAGAGCAAGAATGGACAGTACTTTGAGCCTCCGCGGCTTGAATATTTTCCATTGGTGGCCTCTAGTCGAACTCCCGATGTTGAGGTGGAAGAATTCCTGCAACTCTCTCCCCAGTTCTCCCCTGAGGATACGACGGGTAAAGATCAAGTCCCCACGCCGACGGCGGTAATCCATAGAAAACATATTCAAATGCCGAAGCCGAAGGGGATACGGCAGGTCACGTAACTCGGAGACAAACTTCGATCCACGCCGTTGGACCTTTTCGATCATGTCGCGCTCAGATTTGGAAAGCGGGTAGGCAGCAGGGAGGCCGTATTCCAAAATCGGGCGCACATGCGAAGTGAACAGAAGTCTAAAGAGTTCCGGTGTCAAGCGACAGAAAGCTCTTCGGATGGCATAAAACATTCTGTAGGCAGCGGCAACCCTCTTCATGGTGTCCTGAGTAGATCTTAAGTCCGGGGAAACAATCACGCCCAGATCTCTCTCTGATGTAACATTTTTGAGCAAGAAACCACCTATGTGGTACGCGCCGAGTGGTTCAGGAGCGCCGATAGGCAGGACGGAACATTTGTCTTGATTAATGGGTAAATGCCACTGAATCGACCAAGTGTGCAGGAGATCGAGCGTCTCTTGTAGTCGATCAGCATCCTCTAGAGAGGATACCTTCCATATCTTTAGATCATCCGCATAAATCAAGCAATCCGATTGAAGCTCCGACGGTAGATCGTTGATGAAGATGTTGAAGAGTTCGGGGCCGAGGACGGAGCCCTGTGGAACACCGCTGGTCATATGAACAGGATCGGAATACGTTTCGTTCACTCTCACCAGCATGGAACGAGTGTGTAGAAAATCAGAAATCCAGGAGAGAAAGTTTCCAGAGATACCGATTCCTCTGAGTTTGTAGAGAAGCTGTTCATGAGGGACTTTATCAAAAGCTTTACTGAAGTCCACGAACACAACATCCATGCGTTTGCCAACATCCAATGAATTTGCCCATTTTTCTCTAGCCAGCAGCAAGTTGGTAGAGCAGGAGCGAGCTTTGCGAAAACCATGTTGGGCACTTGATATCAGATCCAACCGCTCGAGCTGAAGTCGAAGCGCCCGTTTCAGGACCCGTTCAATGATTTTGCACACTATCGATGTAAGGCAGGTGGGCCGGTAGCTAGCTGGGTCTTGCCGGTTCCCTCCTTACACTCGGCCCTCACAATTTGACACTTGTCACGGGAAAACATTTTCGGTTTGGCTTTTCGGCTTTACTATTGCGCACTTATAATTTGGGAATCGATTTCCTTTTAGTGTTACCGGTATTTGCAACAAAAAATGCATTCAAACGGCATGCTAACGGTGTGTTGGAAGAAATTCTGAGTGCCTGAAAGTCGTCCAACAAGTGTCCATTTGGGACTGCCGGGGAAAGCACAAAACTTGCTCACTCAGGGACGTCCAAAGGTCACTCCAGCGGACGCTTTTTGCTCATTTCTGCGGACAGGGCATGTTGAAAAAAGTAATAACAAAAGTTTGCAGTTTTATCACCAAAAGTAGCTATTTGCCTACCCATTTTGCCCATTTGGTTAATCTAACCTGGTCCACTCATGGAATAAGAAGCATTTCTTAGAGCGCCTTTACCCCACGTGATTTTCCACTGTTCTCTTATCCCCTTTTGTATTCAGAGATCACATTTCTGTTCACAAACCGCTTTGATGTATCTCCTTTGGTTTGTGGCAAGTAACCCACTTCTTTCCACCGGTATCTCGAACCAATTTACTTGTGATTAATGCTTTGTCTTCTTGATTTAGTTACAGCAATTCTCTCGGCTCACCGCCTACTTCGCTACGCTGTGATTTATAAAAGTTCATCCAATCCTACAAGGCTCCACATCCTCCCTGGTACTGAACCACACACCGCCTACCTGTGCACATCGTTGGAGCAATTTCTTAGATTGCTTTATCACTCCTACTTGGTGCGTGTGCTGAATATTTGTTGACAATGAAATCGGCAGCTGCCAACCATTCAGTCAATTTGAGGCGACAAAGCAGGCAAAGTACCTGCTAATCACTGAAGTGATTGATTCACGCCTGGTACGGCAGATACTGGGTGTTCTGTTCCACCGAAGTATTACTACTGAAGAAAAGCGAAAGATATCGTTTCTTTCGGGAGTTTATCGCCAAATATTTGCACTTTTACAGCTATAACGCACCATGACCTCCAGATGCTTGGATTGCGGTAAAGAGGTTATCTCCCATTCGAAAGCCGTTCAATGATTTTTGTGCGATGGATGGCTGCACATTGCCTGCTGTAATATCGATGCACTGATGTACGAAACTCTTCAACGGTTCACCTCCTCGGTTGTCAACTGCTTTTGTAAATTGTAGCACCATACTGATGGCTAAACTTCTCGCGGCTGGTCTACGTCCGCTCAGTCCCACTTATGTTCCTGCCCAACCTGTGGTTCGTACAGCAGAAAAAACTCAAATCCCTCATTTACATATACCCGCGTCTTGCCCAACTACTAAGGGGACACGGAGTTGAATCTCATCTGTTTCATCTTCGGAACTAGTAACGACGATTGAGCAGCGTAGCCATGTGAGACAAAAACATGCCGCCGTAGTGAGTTAAAATGCTGTCAACAAGGAGACTGAGTACCTCTGAACCCAAAGTCCAAGTGAAAATGAGTCACAAACCTAATACACAACTTAACTCTTCAAGTTCCCAACTGAAGCTGGTTCTTGGCAAAATGAGTGCACTATCATACTTAGCCAAAGCACACCCAAGACCACAAACGTCGCCAGTTTCCGAGGGAAGTATATTTCGTCCTCGTGTACGGTGCCTGATAATCGTGAACGCTCTCGAATCTTACAAGGAAATACTGGCCAAGAGGATAGTGGATGACCAGGTTTTCCTAAAGCGCATGATTACTGTTCGACGAAAGGGAACAAGAGATAAATGTCGTCTCTGCCTTAGCTGGAAGCAGAAGGACACTTTCAAAGTGCGTCCGCTGAAAATCTTTTGTCAAAATGAAGAGAAATGTCACATCCTCAGGCCGACCTCGCGTCTTAAGGGTGAAACATTCCATGTCTTGAGGGGTCTCTACCCGAAAGACCGAGTGAGAATGAAGAACGCTATGGATGAAATGCGGACCCGCCGAGCCACTGGTGAATCTAATCTTCGTATTATGGATTTTCTTGTAGTTCAATGGACTCTGAAAGCTCGCTGGCGACCGGTCTTTGTCGCACCCGGGCTCTAATGTCTAAAATTGAATTGCGTGTGATGTTCGCCAATGTGCATAGCCCTGCGAAATGAATTGGATAAGATTCGTCCTCTCATTTTACAGTATCATCCTGGCCTGATGGCTTTTACTGTGACGTGGCTGTCCCCGGATATTCTGGATTCTGAAATACCCCTTCCTGGTTATCAGTTTCCTCGGGCTGATCGTTTTAGTACGAGATCTGGAGGTGGCATCGTACTCCTCCAGAAATGTGAGTTAGGTTTCATGCCGTAGGGGCTGTTTGTGGTACAGTTGCTGGTTCGGAGATAATTTGGTGTCGAGTCCACGACGGACACAATTCGCTCATGGTTTGCGTTATCTACAGACCCCCAATGACCTCCAGCTCCCGATTGCTGGACTTGATTAAAGTGCACGACGGAGGCAATGATTGCCTAATATTAGGAGGCCAATTCCCCCAGCATCAACTGTGATTTACTTCATTATGATCTCGCCTCAGAGTCCGTTGCTGTTCTACTGGAAACTATCCTCGATGTGGGTCTCACTCAACATGTCTCTTCACCTGCTGGAATGATTCCGGGCCAGTCGCCACACATTCTCGACCTCGTGTTCACACTACCACCCGATGTATCTGATTTAGAGACTTTCCAGCCACTTGGGTCAAGTGATCACTGTGTTTTCCTTTCTATGCACAAGACGACCCCCTTTCATCACTGGGGCATACCTCGCCGGAACTACTGACGCGCCGATCCACTCTGACTACAAATATCTGCAAGTGTTATGTACTGGAGTACTGCTTCGCTTAAAATTGCCTTTTTATTATCGACCAACCGTTGCTGGTAGACTTTTTCGTAAGACGCTCCTTGGATTGATAGAGAACTGAACCCTACTGCATAGAAGACGAAAACTATGGGCAAGTTTCAGTTCTCATAATCGGCATCTAACTATTGTGATTACAGAGTGCTCAGGAATTTGTTCACACTGGAAAAATGTGGGGAGCGGGAACAGTATGAGCGTCGCCTGGCTGAAAAATCTTACACTGACCCGAGAAACCTCTTCTCGTACCTGAAAAGAATTACTAAGGCGGGTTATGGCAAACCTGACTTGTATTTGCAAAATGATGAGGTTATACTTCATGACGATGAAATGAAAGCTTGTCTTCTTGCTTCACAATATTCATAAG